GCACAGCCGCACAGCCGCACAGCCGCACAGCCGCACAGCCGCACAGCCTTTTTTTTCTGGCACAGCCAGTGGTCCTGGGGTGGGAGAGATGAGGGAACTTTGGGTACATAATGAAGACATACCCGGTGTTCTTTCCACTTTCTGAATAAGTTCTTTTGCGTAGCCATAATCGGGACAGAGCATGCGCCTTTTTTTGTTTCCTTTTTTGCATGGGTATGTCTTTGTTTCCTAGTGCTTAAAATGCTGTTCTCAATATAGCTTTGTTGTAAAGTTCCCTTGTGAAGCCGGAGCGCGAGGGATGGATCTGAGGTAGAGGGTGAAAGTTGCAGAGCAGGTAGCTCTGTTTTGCATATCTTTAAACTTCCTCCTTCCATCAGGGTACAGAACTTGGTGCCATGATCAGTGGTTTCTCGGGAGGGCTTACTGCATGGTTGCAATAATCTCCTAGTATTAAAACTTATGGAAAATCAAGTTTCAGTGACATCTTTCTTTACTCTCTTGCTTCGTGCCAGAACATGCAGTGTATAAAGGAGACCTGTTTACTATTTTGAAGATTAGGAATTCATTTACTGACCTGGGTGCTGTCGGCCCCCACTGCCCACATTGGTATACGGTGCTCAATATTTTGCCAGATGGAGAGGCTTTCTTAACACAACTTGTTTGTAATTAAACTTTTAATGTTAGCTAGGTTGTTGTTTTGGGTTTTTTTTAAATGTTTTTTAGATATACTTTCTGTAAACATTTAACTAAAGCAATAATACTGTCTGGTGTTTGGTTTTGGGTACTCCGTGATAACAAAGGATTGAAGAACATCTCTCGTGTTGCTCAAAACGTAATATGAAATAGCTTTTTTTTTTCTTTTAAGAATTTGCTGAATGTTTTAAGTATTTGCTTGTATTTTCTGAAACTTGTTTCTTGTGATACTGAAAGACCATTATAGTTTGACCCTGTAATATATTGTACTGCAAACTTTAAAAAAAGTTAAATCCCTTTGCTGGAATGTCTGGCTGTGACATCATGCTAATCTTTAACAGACTTTTCTAATAGCTTAAACTTCAGTGTTATAGAGTGAAGTTTTCTATATTATGTAAGTAATTCTCTGATTATAAAATCCACTGCCCCTTTGTGGATTTAATACTCAAGTTTCTTAACATGCATGTTATGAATTTGTTTGTGCAAATCACTTTTTCTATCAAAAAAACATGAGTACAAAGAATTTTGTGTGACTGTGTCCCCAAGCTCTGGGAATCATATTTCACAGTATTTTGTTGCTGAGATAACTGAGGTCTGACCTGTAAGGGAGCCGAGTGAGTCAGTGAGGTAATGTCATTGTATAGTTCTTGAAAAATACGCCCTAGTTTGAGGCTTAAGCTTAAAGACTAAGGCGTATGTGTGCATTGTTCAACTGAATATAACTATGGGCTCTTTATAGTAAACAATATTGAATAGAAGCATTTTATTAAAAATGGCAATAATGCTTCATGTGTAACTGATTAGTTGTTGCTCAGATAAGAACACTTGATCCTTTTTTTCCCACCCCCTTGTTGCAGCTTTATTTGTCTCTAGGCTTGACTGTTGACTATGTAAAAGTTTCTGTCGGGTTTTCTGGGTAAGAACACCTCACTTTTGGAACAGGAGAGGAACTGCGCCTGCAGTGAGTTCATACAGGTAGCCCGGGGTCCCTGACAGCAGGAATGGGGAGATTGCTCTGTCCTTGATATATGATCTCACGGTGGGGAGCACCTGAGCACTGTTTGGAAGAAGGCTTCAGATGCAGGAGACTGCAGGCTAGGAGCATAAACAAGTTGAGTGCTGAGCTTTATGCGGGGCTGCATTACCATTAACCACCACAGTGTAGAGAATTTATAACAACATGGGGGAAATATAGTATTAAAATCTTATCTGGCGTTATGCTTGTGAAAGGTGCTGTGTCAGCAAGTAGGATGCAAAGCGGAGCAGGATTAGTTTAACGTATGCTTAAAATAGAAGTCATAGTTTGCAGTGATGAGCCATGAGACTTTCTTCAGGAACAATCTGTGCGG